CGGTCTTCAGAGGTAGCTGTTTTTCTTTTTCTACCAGAACCTTATTTTCTTTTGGTGGTTCCTGTCTCAATGAACTGTTTCCATATTTTGCTGACCACAGATTTATTCACATTTAGCCATTTTGCTACTTCAACTTGTGATTGCCCTGCCTCCATTCTTCCAACAGCTCTCCATTTTAAATCATCTCCTAAATTTTTCGTAAACTCATAATTAACTAAGGATTAAATAAAATTATAATTGGACAATTCTTAGATGGGGTAAACGACATGCCAAATAGCAAACTTATAAAGACAAGCAAAAATTTGCATATTTTCAATTTTACCTAATCGAATGGTTGCGATAAATAAATTCTACGACTTAAAATACCTAATTGAATTACTTTTTAGCTTTTAGCGTTGTATATTTTAAAACATATCATTAAAAAACAAAAGTTTCTTATTTTTTGGACACCACTGTATATAGGACAGATATTTTTGAATGAATAATTCATCGCTATAAACGAATATAATTGATATTAATTAATAGGCTAATCCCTTAATAGAATGTTCAAATCTAAAAGCTTGGGGGATGAGTTTCTTTTGCAAATAAATTTATTTCGAGCTTTCGGGCAATGCCCTTCTACAGGAAAATTAAAAATAAAGAAATTTAAAATATATTACACTGAGATTAGGCGAGGCAAATGTATAACGAACTATCTAAAATAAATATCAGAAACAAACACACGTGAGACTACTCGTGCGTCAGATACATATGAATAAACCAATAAACAGATTTTTTTATATTTGTGTATATATATAGCGAATTTGAATGTCTAAAATATGAACTGATATAGAATCGGACTTAGAATATGGCATATTTTGGAAATATAGGACAGAATAACTATTGAATTTGTGGTCTCTGAGTTCATGATACAGTGGGAGGTTGGGTATCAGCAGGGAATATATACATACCCAATATCTTTTATATTACGACACTTTTACGACCCATCTAAAAAGATACAGCCTCCAATATACAGATCGATTTGCAATATGCCATATTCACCATTATCCTCCACAATAGCAAGATTCTCATTAATATTCGGAATTAAAACCTATTTCACCTGCGCACCTACCTCAGGATCCCTTCTCCGAAACCAGATAATGAAACATAATTATAATGAACCTCACAGCACGGCACGAAACGTTATTTACTCCATAGAATGTTCAAACTGCCCAAAAATCTACGTAGGTGACACTGGGAGACAGGTCAACATTAGAATTCACGAACACAAAAGCAATATCGATAACCTAGACCATAGATCACTAATAGTTCAGCTAATAAACGAAACTGGCCATTCCTTCAACATTACATCCCCTAAAATTCATTATTCCAATATCTCCAGCAAACATCAAAGACTAATCATCGAATCCCTCCTGTCAAGTAAATTCCACAGCCTTAATAAAAAAATTGATTTACCCGAAATATATAATATAATAGTCCCTGCTGATACCCAACCTCCCACTGTATCATGAACTCAGAGACCACAAATTCAATGGTTATTTTGTCATATTTTTCCAAAATATGCCATAATCTTAGTACTATTCTATATCAGTTCATATTTTAAACATTCAAATTCGCTATATATATACACGAATATGAAAATATTTCAGTTTATTGATTTATTCATATATATCTGACGCACGAGTAGTCTCACGTGTGTTTGTTTCTGATATTTATTTTAGATAGTTTGTTATACATTTGCCTCGCTTAATCTCAGTGTAATATATTTCAAATTTCTTTATTTTTAATTTTCCTGTAGAAGGGCGTTGCTCGAAAGCTCGAAATAAATTTATTTGCAAAAGAAACTCATCCCCCAAGCTTTTAGATTTTAACATAATCGATATTACTATAGACATAAATAACCTACTTTTAATTTGCTAATAAAAATGTTTTATTTTTGATTTGATACATATATATAAAGTAAATATAACTGCTAATTTCATTAATAAACTTTCTTTGCAAAATATATTAAAATTTGAACAATTTAAAATTACCTTTTTTTATTTATAATATTTTTTTTTATTTACAAAACGCATATTAGAGCATAATTTATAAAGTAAAATATTTAATTATCTACAAATTGAAGGGATTTTATTTATATGTACGTA